ATTTGGTTCGCGACCAGAGTCGTGGAACGAATTAAGTTCGTGAACCGAGGTACCACTGTACACTGTCTCAAGCTTCTGAGAAGATGGGATGGACACAAATAAAATCAAGTGAATAAAGATACACAACGCTGAATCAAACCCGAGGCTGAAAGAAGTTGACAGGCCAACGCTAGGACTCATTCTGATATAAACAGTTGCACCAAGCATGCACCCAGCTGGGAATACAGAGTAATCTTCAAGGTCAAAGACTCTAATTTCTTGGAAGCGCTGCCCACGCTAACAATTATAGCACTGACATGCTGTTACATGAAAGATCAGCACCTATCAGATGTCTCCAGCAGTGAAGACAATATCTTCCTGAAATTAAAACAGTGAGACACAAGCTAAACCCTAAGTCATCCCAGACGTCTTACCTGCTCACACCTCTATTGACAACTCCCACTTCTGGACTATTTGCTTGGAGAGACCTTGAGCTCTATGGCATCGTTCTGGCCAGGATGTTGGGATTAAGAGGACTTCTCCTGGCTCCACCCCTCTCCTTCCAGTGAACAGCAACACCTATGGGTGGAGACAGGAATTCCCTTAATCATTGATCTATGCAAGACTTGACAAGCAACAGGCAGTGATGGCGACAGAAGGCAACTCATTTTCCAAATCATGATACCAGACAATACAAAGATGAGGTGGGCTAAGTGGAAGCTCACCCCAGCCTCTGTATTTTCCTCAGTGGGTATCCCTACCACGGAAGAGCCTAAAAGTCAGAGGTTCTTGACATTGCCCTTAAAAGAACCCAGGTTCAGTTAAGGATCCATGGAAGGTCCAGGTCCAGACCAGTGGAAAGAAACATACAGAGAGAGGATTCTTTGAGAGACAATGCCAACTAAAGTGGTCAGGACCGGGCCCTTACTTAGTTACTTATATCCCGCAATACCAGAGGACTCAGCAGTTCACAATACACAAATAACATGGAAAATTAATGCAATTAGAACATCCAAACATAGTTAAAAAAACAACCCTCCAAGCCAGCATAGTAATCCAGGATATGCAGTCTCAACAATGTCATATTCCAAATGCCCTCCAGGAAACATTTGTTTTCAGCTGCTTCTGGAAGATGACAAAGTGGGAGCAGAACCAGTTTCCACCAGGAGGCCATTCCAGAGGGTTGGGGCTGCTATTGAGAAGCAGAGTCTCCAAGCCTTGGTCTCCTTCTCTTCCTGGAAGTGGGGAATCACCACCAGCTTCTCTCAGCATGATTGAACTGGTCATGTTGACTTTAATGGGAAAATGTGATCCTGACAGTAACTCGGTGCAAAGCCATAAAGAACTTTAAAACTTAAAACCAAACTTGAAATTGAACCCAGAAGTCTACTGGTAACCAGTGCAGGGTCTGTAGTACAGGTGTTATGTGCGGCCACTGGCAAGTGCCTGCTAACATATGGACACTGCCCTTTGGACCATCTGAAGCTCCTTGGTGGTCCTTAAAGGCCAGACCATGTAGAACAGTGGTAGTGCAGGGAGGTGACAATGAGGGCATAAATCACTGTCGCAAATTCCTCTTGCCCCAGGTAGGGACTTGGGCTTCCACCTGCTGTTCTAGCAGGAGCCACGAGTCCAGGAAGACCCTCCACATCACAGATCTGCTCCTCTAAGGGTAGTGCTTCCCCCTCAAGAGACACCACTGGTGCAGGCAGATAATCTCAATGTACAAGTAGACTCAACCTTGGGTTGTTTCCTCCCATCCAGGACCTTACAGCCTCCAGACACCAAGACAAGACTTCAACAGCATCATCACTTGGGCCCAGAGTAGCAATGTAAAGCTATGTATCATCATCGTATTGATGATATCAAACCTCAAACCATCAGATGTCTTCTCCCAGTGTTTCATGTAGGTGTTAAAGAGTAGGTGGGAGAGAACTGACCTCTGCAGCATCCCACATGTCAGCAGCCATCAGGCTGATCTCTCCTCCCTCCATTCCCCACAGTGACTGGAACCATCCATTGAGGAAAGACTAGAACCACTGTGAAACAGTGCCTGCAATTCCGAACTCCTGCAGGCAGTCCAGGAAGATGTCATGGTTGGCGATACTGAAAACCACCAAGGGGTCTAAAAGGACCAAGATGGGAGAACTTCTTCCAATCAGGTCTCAACAAAGGTCATCCAATAACATGACCAATGCCATTCCAATCCCATGTCTAGGTTTGATCCCGGGCTGAAAAAGAATCCCAATAATCCACTTCTTCTAGGGTAATCCATAATTGAGCCCCACCACAGACCCAACAGCCTTTCCTAGAAGAAAGTTAGAGACTAAGTGATAGTTGTCTATCTCCTCCACATCCAGGGAGGGCCTCTTAAGGAAGAGGAGCACCAATGCCTTGGTTAAATCCACCAGCAACATCCCTTCTTGCAGTGAGGCTCTGACAGTCTCCCAAATCCAGGAAATTACCTCCTCCAACTACCCAAAGGAACCAGGAATAAGGATACATCTTGCAAGGGGCAAAGGACATCCTTGAAAACACTCTATCCACTTTCTCAGAGGCGATGAGCCAAAAGGAATCCCAGATAACGTGGCAAGATAGTGCCCAAGTCACACCCTAGATCCTGCCCACACAGAGTCAAGACTGAAACAGACGTGAGTGACTTGACTGGGAAAACGTAGTGCTATCTGGTTGCAGCGGCCATATAGAAGCTCTTGATGTTGACTCAAGGGAGGAGAAGTAAGGATGCTTCACTCCTCATTGCCATGGAGTAGGTCCAAGCATGGCTCAGTCAGGTTCACTTTGTGTCCTTCTCCACCAGCACTCCAGACATGGTTTTTGCCACTTGATCTCCCAGCGGCCCTTAGTTAGGATGAAGCCAGTGTAGAAAAGACTACTAAACTCCACGTTAAGGACTGACAGTAAAAAGTACATACATATAACTGGATCAAGAAGTGAGGTAATGCTAAAATTAAAGAAAAAAGTTCTGGGAAATAACATCCTAAAACAACTCCGAAAAAATTGTTCCAAGTTCCTCTCTTTTTTCCTTCCTTATCGAAAGTCTAATTCAAACGACGACAAACCATATCTATCAAGAATGCACTACCTGTACTGTAGATATATAGACCAGAGTCTGTTGGAGTTGGGTGACTAATAAATTCAAATACATAAAAAATTAAAACACTATATATGTAGATTTATACTTCCCGTACTGAAAATTATTTTTTTGATCATCTACAAGTCTTGACATCTTTATACACTCCAAATAAAACCATTTTAATGCAATATATCAGAGGAAACACTTGTCCTTCAAATGCCCTAGACTAGACCTCCCCGATCCTTTGCTACGGATTCTGCACAACTGCAAAACACTTGGAGGGGTCCCAGTTGGTTATTCCTGCAGCGTGTTACCTGTAACATTTTGATGGCCCTAAGGAAACGGGCTAAAATCATACTTCACATTCCCAGAAGCCTGTCTTGTCCTAGGCCTGCAAAAGTACTTAAAAATAAATGCAAGAAAACCAAGTTTTATTCACAAAAAGATCTAGAAGGTTTTTTTCCCCAAGCCGCTGGGAAATCAGATATGTTATGACGTACTGAAGAAAAAAGGGGTTTAGGTGGGGTAAGGAAAAGAAAGCTTGCCTAAGTTAAATTATAGATTTGAGAATACCAAACTGAACTAGAACGATTTCCTGAGGGAGAGTGATGTGTTACATTAAAGTTCAAAGAACATGCCATTCCCTGGTTACCTAAGGTGAAGAAGGAAACTCCAAGGTGAATACTCAGAGGAGAACCAGCCCCTATCTCCCAGTGTGGTAGCAAATGACGGTACAGACATGGGTGACTCAAAGAGAGGAACTGTGTGGCTTTGGAGAATTCTATGGTGATGTCTTTGCTACAAAATGCTAGTCACATCCAGGGTTTTGTGTAGAAGCTTTTATGGGCCCATATTCTTTAATATGGGCAGTTGGGTCTTATAAAACTTCCATGTGAGAGATAAGAAACTGTATTAAAAGCATAAAGACTTAGAGTGAGGTCAAACCTTGATGATGACACACATGACTGTGTAATTTCCTTGGCAATAGTACGGAAGTGGTTCACTGCTATCTTCTTTGGGATTCAGTCTTCCCCAACTTGATGCCCTCCAAACAGATGAGCCTTTCCTATGAATCTGACATCCAACGCATCTGGAGAATACCATGTCAGGAAGGCAGATTTGTCATTATTATCATGGCTACCACCTAAGAAATATTATCAGCAACGAAGAAGTACATCCCTAAAGACCATCTGAAGGAACATGACATTGGCCATTTCTACACATCCAACCATGACTGTTCCAAAATACCAGTAATAAGGACAGGCGTTATATCCTTTCAATCAAGGCTGGATGAAGCTGTGAAGATGCTGTTAGTCACTACTGTGGAAACAACTATCATCTATTTGTCGAACCAAAGCTGGTGAGGATCAGGTACACGTGGGAATGAAGAGACTAGTTAGGAACTCCCTTTTTCAGTATTTTCAAAACAGCCATTTCCTCTCCAGAGATACAAGGGAGAAGAAGCTAGATGTTTCATTCTTCTTGGTTCATCTGTGGAAAGCAAGGATTGGAGACAACAGATTTCATACAACTGGGTCTAAGAATTCAGACACGAAGTATGGCTTGCTCAATTTTGGGTAATTTTATATCTGCTCCAATTCTGGCTTTCTGTGAAAGAGCCTGGGTCTCCCCACCATTGCAGCATCTTCACTCCACCACCCTGGCTGGGTTTGCAGATCTCAGTCTTGTGCAACTTCTGGAAGTTCAACCATTCTCTCAAATCCTTACTTTCTGCCTTTGTTATGACCCAGTATTGGATTTTAGGCGAGCACCATGCGCTGAAAAACAGCCTGGGAACCATGGTTAAAATGGAGCCTTACTTAAACATTTATTCCTGAGAAAGGGAGGAATCTGTTGCGCCCCATCCAGATTAGGAGGCATCTCCCCATTGAAGAACAGATGGCACCAGCATAATTTCCTGTCTGGGTAAAACTCTCTTCTCTTGCGGAATAGCTATTCCTAGACCCTTCAGGTCCCAGGTATGGGGGCTGTGTGGGTGGAGATCCAAGGAAAGAGACTAAAAGGTTTGTGTAGATGTCAGTAACGGACTCTCCCCATCTTCCTCCTCGATACAGATGTGATATAATGACCACCATGGAACCACCAACCAACAAAGGAATGGAAGACACTGAATGGAAGACATCTGAGAACTGTATCAGAGCCAGTGTGGTGTTGCAGTTAAGGCTACACCAGACTAGAAACGGGGAGACTGTGAGTTCTAGTCCTCCTTTAGGCATGAAAGTTGGCTGGGTGACAGTTGCTTTCTTTCAAACCAACCTTCCTCCCAAGGTCGTTGTGATGGGGAAAACACGAGATGAGAGCATTATAAACACTGCCTTGAGTTGATCAAAACAAAGATGGGACATAAATCAAATAAATAAATCAGGGTGGTCCCTATTTCTGTTATAACCTGAGGGGGACCTTTGCTAGGCTGCTGCTGAATAATTTGGGGTTTTGGGGGGACCAACCCAACCCAGCACTTCTC